CCGTTCACACCAACTGAGTCAACCTGAGTCAATCAGGACTCAGTACCCAGACTGATTTCGAGGAGGATGGACGCATATTCTCTCGCTGAATTAGCTGTTTTGTTGTGGATTCGGCGTCGTAAACGCAAGAGGGGGACCCGAATCTGGACGCATGAACTCAACACCAAAAGACCCAATTTTGGAAGCTTCAGTCATTTATTCCCAGACTTGGTGAACCATCAAGACAAATTTTACAATTTCTTTAGGATGACAGCTGAAAACTGTCATCCTAAAATTAAATTTATTAGGACGTCAACCTGCATGATGTACACACCACTGCGGACTCGGCGTGACTGATGAAGAAAATGGGCCCAACCCCATCTGTGACTTGACGTGACATGATGCGACTTGACTTGACTTGACTCATCTGGTGGGAATGGTTTCTGAGAATATACATTGGAGTAAATGTGCATTAGAGTGGCGATTCACGATGAGTCATGACTTGACTGGCTTGGTGTAAATGCAGCCTTAGATTATATTATCTGTTCTGTTAATGTAGTACAGTGTTCATGTCAAAATTAACTATTTCATCTCTGTAAAAATATTTATTGTATTGTTGTAACCTTTATAACTTTGATGATGGAATGGAGAGAAGAGAGCCATTAGCTCAGGAAGGTTGAAGACGGTGTAGAAGGAAGGTAAAAGTTAGGAAATGGGAAATAACTTTTACCATCCTCCTGCACCGTCTTCAACCTTCCTGAGCTAATGGCTTTGTACAACCCGGAAGGGGATGGCAAAGGTGAGGGTGGGAGTAGTATACTACCCTGTCCTTTTGATGTAATAGTTTTATGGTCAATAAAGTATTTACATTTCAATTTAAGCAATTGGAGAAACTTTTTCAAAACAAGGTTAATACATAGTATTAAATGCCTTCACGTACAAAAAACATAGCAGAAACAAACTAGACAGAAGAATACATAGACATTAATGCAGTAAAATCGATATCTCGATATAATATAATATCCGATCACAGAAAATGGACCGCCACCAGTGATCATAGAGAATATAATAATTTCTTAAATTTCAGGAGTAACTCAATTGGTTTCTAATTTTGCCACTATTTTTGATGGCTATATAATTATATATAAATTTATTCAGTAAAACCGCCATGATAGTTCACACTGGTTCAGAATGCATATAGTAGACATACAAACAATGTACACAAAGAAGTGTAAGAGGATGCACCTGGGGCGTACCAACGGTAAGGAGGCGTACCATATGTCCCAACGGGATGAAGAAAATGTACTAGTTGAGACTGTGTGTGAGAAGGACCTAGGTGTGTATGTTGACAATGAGCTGAAGTTCTCGGGCCATTGTGAGAAGAAGGTAAATCAGGCAAATAAATTATTGGGTCTTATAAGAAGGTCGTTCAGATATCTAGACGGTCCGTCCCTCGTGACGATCTTCAGGAGTGAAGTGCTTCCCCATCTGGAGTACTGTCACCTGGTCTGGTCCCCGAGATATGCTAGGGACTGTCAGTTGGTTGAAAATGTTCAAAGGAGGGCCACCAAACTGGTGCCTGCACTTCGGCATCTCAGCTACCCTGAGAGATTGAGCGCCTGAACTTGCCTAGCTTATACTACAGACGGGCAAGGGGGGACCTAGTTGAGGTTTATAAGCATCTCAGGGGGCACTACTCAGTTGAGTGTCCTACTTGGAGCTGGCGGACGCTCGCCCCACAAGGGGTCACAGCTCAAGATTGAAGAAGCCGCAAGTCCAGAAAACCGTGAGGGCAAACTTTTTCGGAGTGAGGGTTGTAAACTCTTGGAACAATCTACCAGAGAGTGTTGTGACGGCACCGAGTGTGAGCTCTTTCAAGAGAAGACTTGACCAACACTGGAGCGGGTTCAGGTACATTCAGGAGCCGGTGCATGCCCAGTATTTGCCAACAGTGCGTGACAGAGACGTGACCGATCGCCCGGGCGGCTAGCGAGCCGACCTTTTGGTGAAGAATATAAAGGAAAAGACGTGACCGATCGCCCAAGCGGCTAACAAGCCGATCAGTGGCGAAGAGGATAAAAAAAAAAAGTCGATTCATCCATAATAGCCCATGAAATGCTTATCTAGTAATCCTTAGTCTGACTCCCATTGCGACATTCCTTTGGGCCATTCCGGTAGTTTTAATACAATGTAAACAAACACAGATCTGCCACATCTCACAAAATACGCCAGTCTCTGTACCAGGTATAATTAGAGGCAACTGTACCTGAACTTGTGCCAAAGTTGGTCAAGCTTGGACTAGAAGGAGCTCACACTTGGTCCTGGCCCAACATTATTTGGCGGGTTATTCCATAGGTTCATATTACCCCAAAAGGTTTTCTGCACCGATAGATTATTTAACTTGAGGCTTTAACCTCTACTGGGGCGGGCATCATCAGATAATTCCACTCTGTTTTCCATCAAATTTTCCTCTATACAGTCATTATTCTTCTTCTCTACAACTTAAATGGAATAAAAGTATCCCTAAAACTGTATTATAACTACATTGTCATTCTTATACATCACGCAATTCCTGCCTCATTAAAGATACAAAACTGCAACCCTGAACCGCGTGTGACATTACTAAGCTTGTGACTCGACCTTTGCGTGTTACCCAGATTGTCTAAGTAACTTTCACCTGATCTGACTCGCCTGGTTAATAGTTTCAGAGGGACCATCACCTGTAAGCAAATTAACCCTAAAGGAATATACTATTAATTGAGTTTTGTTCGTATCATAAACATAATAAAAAAATATACACGTTTACATTATCATAGTCATTCATTTTTTTTTATTCTCAGACATTTTCTTCACATATTGGTGACTTGACTTGTACCACCTGATAATTATCGTTGAATTTGCTATGGTTCACAACACCTGTACTCTGTAGGTAAAGTCATTATACACCTGCTGTGGAATCCTTATAATTATGGGATTAAAAGAAACATTAAAACACGTGGTTCAACAATAAACATTTATTTAGTAACGTGAACATAAACATCAGTGTAAATGCAATACTCAGGGAGGGTCGTGTTAGTGCCAACAATATTTTTTGGTGGGTCGTATATTTCCTCACGTATAAGGATAGTCTTTATAAACTTGTGACCGTGGAAAAACATTACCTATATTTATTAATTATTTCTTGTATAACAAAAAGTTTTCAGTGAATTTATATTGTGGAAACTTAAAAATCAAGGGTGAAAACGCTCTTTTTTTTTATTCTCCGTAACAGCTAAAAGGTATCAATAGGTGGATTGTTTCTTAAGGTAACTACAGTCTCAAGCACTCAAGATTTCTTCAGACTTTTTCAGACGTTAAGTAGAAAAAAAAATACAATGTCTTTATATCAGTTATGAATGATGTGTTCCAGCAGTAATGAATGTAATTTCGCGCCATCAAAGATCACGTTTCTCAGGTCATCTTGACGTATGGATGGACGCTTTTGGCAATAGTTACGCTCGCTTAGTTAACGTCACTTAATTTTCAGGCATCACTGACGCTTAAATATCGGACAACTGTAAACAATTTATAGTATGGAAGAATAATTCACTCACGATTTTATTTTCCCGGTCAACCAAATACTCAGTCTTATGTCTTACAGGTTGGCGTCTAATGAGTCCTAGGTAATCCGCCATAAAAACACTCAGCTCGTTCCTGGCGGATTATAATGCTCTGGACAATCATTAAGCTTAAATTACTGGCTAGAATAATACTCTAATGAGACTAACTCCAGAATTGACAGGCAGGGGTGATGGCGTGTGATGGACGACGCTACACCTGGAAGTAAAACACAGGAGGATCAAGTCTTGGTTGGTACAGGCGGCCGCGGGAAGGAAGGGTCCGACTGGGAATTCGTTCATTAATTATATCAAATAAATAATCATTGCAGTAATTCGTATAAAGAATACCGGGATTAGTACCAGGAATATTCCCATAAATGCTACAAAAGTCGTAACTAATTCTAAGGTGATATGAGGAAGAATTTTAGAGTAAGAATTAGCAATTAGAATTTTTACCTTGGAAGATAGAATTATACCAGTGCCAGAATTAGTGCTACATGTGTTACTATTGCTGCCGTGAGTGCCAGGGTGCCACTCGGAGTCAACATTAGTGCCATCACCCACGTCAGAATTATAGCCTCCGGATATAGAATTTATGACAGTTCGAGGCTTTAGGTCAGAATAAATACTCTTGTTAGTATTAATCAAGAATGGTAAAATCAGTATAATAACTCGTTGAAGGTTAGTTATAATCCATCTGTTTTATAATTCATCTTAGCCAGAATTGATGCCAACAGTGTGGTCATCAGTTTTATAGTGCCAGTATTCGTGCCTCTAATGCCAGAGTAGTGCCTTCCATGCCAGAGTAGTGCCTTCAATGCCAGAGTAGTGCCTTCAATGCCAGAGTAGTGCCTTCAATGCCAGAGTAGTGCCTTTAATACCAGAGTAGTGCCTTTAATGCCAAAATTCATTCCTTTAATAAGAGAAAAATGCCTTTAATCCCTGGTGTAGTGCCATTAAAGCCAGAATTAATGCCAGTATTTGTATAGAGATCCATTAATGCCATAAGTGTCATGAATGCCAGACTTCGTGCCAATATTCCCAAACTAGTGGTAATAATGCCAGAAATAGTGCCAGTAGTGCCAATGTTAGAGTCGTTATGTCAAACTAGTGCCATTAATGTTAAAATATGCTCCATTACAGCCAGGATTAGAATTTTTTATACGTACTTTCTATAAACGTACGAATTAATTTCCATATTATTACCGAGTAGAAAAAAAAACATCCCAGAGTACAGGAGATCCAATTTATCTAGAATGCAGGACACCCAGTGTACAAGAGACCCAAGCTTTTCCAGAGTACACTTTCAGGATGCATAAAAACCATATCCCTTGAGTATAGAAGACCCCGAGTGCAGGATAACCAAGCTTTCCCAGAGTACAAGCGAGCCAGAGTATATAACAAGGTGCAAGAGGTACTCACGGCATTTAGGGTCCAATCGTAGTGGTAGGTGAAGTAGTGCTGGTCTTCAGCGGCCTTCAGTAGAGCTTCACTGATGGCGGGATCGTCAACACAGTTCGCCAACCACCTGTGTGTAAGGAGGATGGATAATGAGAGAGAGAGAGAGAGAGAGAGAGAGAGAGAGAGAGAGAGAGAGAGCCATTTAATTTAAGTGATACAAGGTTGGTCTCTTTAATACTGCGGTAAAACCTTTAAACTCATTCATAGTCATTTAATTCCCGAATTTAATATCATTCAAAGTCATTTAAGTCCACCATTTAAACGCTTTCATAAAACTGTTTATTTGCGTCTATTTTCTTTCTTGCGATAAAAGAAAATGAAACGTTTATATGGATGACTTCTTTATTTTGCTACTGATCGACCTGTTAGCCGATTGTAATGTCACTCACGTCTCTGTTGGCACTGTGGGCATGTACTGGCTGTCTGTTGGGAGAACACACCTGAGAGTGAGGGCCTCGGAGACAGCAAAGTCACCCCTGAACCAGTCGAAGATGGAGTTGATGAGGAGGGTGGAGTCACTGACGGCTTTGACGCCCTTGTTGCAGAAGCCTCGGAGGGCGTCGTCAAGCTCCTGATCCAGATGAGACGAGTCGTACCACGTCAGCGGTGGACAGCTCTGACGGAGAACGACCACAAACGTTAGCTGCTACCTACGTTAAAACTGAACGAAGTAACACCAGAAGTATCCCGAGATAATGTCAGTCTTTTTTTTTAATATAAGACCTATTTTTCCCAGTTAGAGGGTAAAGAATAACAGGGGAATTTATCCAATAAATCTTGAGAAAGTTGAAACGGAAATGTGATCCCTCATATAAAACGCAAATACAGATATTCTACTCACCAGGGCACCGCAATTGAGAGCTCCGTGGATGCGTGGGTCAGCCGGGAGGGTGAGAGCCAGACGGGGGTCATTGCGTTTGAACATAATGTCGCCGGAGGTGGGGTGAGGTCGATTACCTGGTGAAATGAGGCGTCGGTTATTAATCACCAAAAACAACATTAACCTTGCCACAAATGTAAGTTATAGCGCTGATTCTCAGTTAACCACTAAACAATATTCAGGACATTCCTTTAACAATAAGTTACACCTCCCCTCTCCCCCAGACCTTTCCCAAACTAAAATATGGCTCCCTGAACGTCACCTAACAGTAACCATGGCCCTTTTACCGTCGTCCTAATCAAGAATATGGCCCCTTTGACGTCAAAATGGCCTTCTGGATGGTCCTCAAGAAAAATTACCCCTAGACATCCCCTTAACCACAAACACGACACCTCTGGCGGTCTCTCTAGCTGACTTACCTCTCAGAATGCCGTGCTCCATATCGTCGAGGTGGAGGGTGTAGCGGCCCACCTTATAGTAGTACCTCTGCCAGAAGTCGGTGACGCTGAGGGTGGACTGCGGGAGACTGTCCATGTGCAGCAGTGAGTGGATCGTCAGCAGGTTGTATAGGTCGTTGGAGAAGTTAAGGCTATGCTGTACAGGTGGTGGTTATGTTGTACAGGTGGTGGGTATGTTGTGCAGGTGGTGGCTATGTTGTGCAGGTGGTGGCTATGTTGTACTCTTAAAATAAAGACATGAAGGGAGTCTATTGGTCTTTGTTATGTTATGATTCAGGTTTACAGTCACCCAGAGACAAGATTTCCTGTTGTACACTCGCTCCAAATAATTCCTTTACGTTTTAGTGTGAGACATTATGACACAACGAACGAAGGATTCTGACAACCCTACCGAGACAACAGGAGTCACAGTGTTCATTCTGGGACGAGTTACACATACCAAAATACATCAGTTTATCAAGAGGGAGTAAATAAAGGATACTGATAAAGAAGGACTTCCGTTCGGTATCGTTCATCTGAAGGGGGTCGACTTTCTTCAGTAGGGAGCCGAACTCGTCGAAGTTGCGCTTGTAGAAGGTACTTTGTTCTAGAGCCAGGTACGACACCTTCTGCCTGTCCTCACTCACGAAGTTGTCGACCAATCTGCAGACACCACAGGGGAGGGTTAGTGGGGAGGAGGAAGGAAAGAAGAAGAGAAAGAGTAGGATAAGGGAGATTAATGAGAAATAATGATGGTGGGAGGAGGAGGAGGAGGTAAGGAGAAAGGGGTAGTAAGGTAAAGAGAAAGAAGAGACGGGATGAAGGAAAGGAGAAGGAAGAGATAATCAGCAGGAGGGAGGAAGCGAAACAGAGAGATCAAGAGAGAAGGAGGGACGAATGCTACAGTATGAAGAATTTTGTTGCGGGAGAGAGAGAGAGAGAGAGAGAGAGAGAGAGAGAGAGAGAGAGAGAGAGTAAGTAAGAAAAACATGTTTGCACACTATCTTTCTTCCACCTCTCTAAACTTACTCCAGTGCCAAGGAAAATATAGCAAAGAAACACCTATAACACAATGAATACAGGAGAAAATTATGTACTGTCAATCATAACCTGTTGTGTTAGAGATGAGATACATAATATACATGATATACAGACAACATGATAGAGTAACATGAGCTTACACGTCCATAAACCTAGCAGTCATGTCGACCATCTGTGTGGGTGTGGTGGTGAGGTTGATGGCGGGGGCGTTATCATTCAGTACCACCATGGGCGCCCTCCACAGTCCCACCCACGATAGTAGCTTCAGAAATTTGGCAAACATTCTTCCACCTGTGTTGGATCACCTCAGGTCAGGGTTCCTGCTGGTGGAGAGAACGTGTGGTACATGTAAACTCCTTGATCACACTCACACACACACACACACACACACCAAAATAATTAAACCAATACAAAAATACTAACACTACATATTACCACGTCCCGATCACTACTGAGGTCAGCTGACAGTCATAATGTAAACAAATACATAGGAAGAGGCCACCTAGGGAGGATATGTTGAACTTGGCCATCATCCTCCCACGAGCACTGGTTGTTTGGTAACACCCGTGTGAAAATGCTACCACCTGTGCTGTTACTTAGTACTACATTATCGAAACACTAGCCGTTGGAAATATATATTTATGAGTTAACTTTATTGTATCTTAAGTTATATTAGAAAAAAAACAACTACGCAACTCTGGCAGGGAGCGCATAGTTCAGGTACTATAAATAAACTTGAGTTAATGACTAAACATGCGTAGTCTAAACCTGTTTGGTGTCAAGACAAAACCATAAAATAATACTTTAACGTGAGTGTTTTGAAGGAGAGTCGAGTGTTTTAAATAAGTGTCCATCGATGGCTTCCGGGTGTGAGAACGAGGCACTGTTACTGAGGACGCCTTAACTTCGGAACATCCTACCGAGATCCTACAGCTGGTGGTGGTGGTCTCGGGAGGACCTTAACTTCATGACGTCCTGCTGGGATCCTGTACAGTAGCTGGTGGTGAGGGTGACATATTTGAGGAGTCCCCCCCCCCCCAGCATCCTCGTTCTTTAGTAAGCAGGATATCCTGGTGTCGTGCGCGTGTATGTGTATATGTGTGTGTGTGTGGGGGGGGGGGGGGATAGAGGGGAGGAAGTTCTGCTACTTCGTCGGGATGCTTAAACACACTTGGCGAGGTGTTCATTAATTATGTGCAACAGAGAGAGAGAGAGAGAGAGAGACAGACAGACAGAGAGAGTGAGTTGATTGCATATGCGTACCGATACATCATCACGAGAACATTAATGAAACAAATAAAATATAAATTTATAACGACAGCGACAAAAGCCTTTAACATTAACAAAATAAACACACAATACTTAAATGAAATAACGTAGGAAACCAAAAAAAACCCCAAAAAAAACAAAATACGAATGACAGGAAGAATAGTAAACACGAAAGACTGAAACAAAAAAAAATTACGTAAAGTAGGAAATTACACAAACCCGAGAACAGCGCAAGAAGACAACATATCAATCACAAAAAGAATAACAACAGGAAAAATCACTAATAGTCAAGATATTACTACTAAGCAGAACGACCCCTAAGGAAGAGCGATTTGTTAGTGTTTACGAATTGACTTTCCCCCCACCCCCCGTCTTTCTCTCTCTCTCTCAAAGGCAAAGAGATTCTCACACACACACGTTTCTCAAGCTTTCTCCCACCAGACACAACGATCCGGGTAACTCTCTGCTGTTCCGTTATGTCCGGTATTGGGGAGTTCCGTTACCTTAGGATTGCTTGCTTTCCGTCTGTACTTCCGTCCATTTGTCAGTACTTCCCGTACCTCCGTGTCTCTCTGACCGTCCATTCGTGACTGAAGTTTTCTTTGTTGTCTGTCTGTCTGTCTGTTTGTCTATCTTCGCCTGTCACAGTAACGTCTTCAAGGCCGCCAGTATTGTATATGTGTTCTTCCGTAACCTTGGCGAGAGGACCTTTATTCTTTACCCCCCCAACACGACTTGTTACGTCACACACCACCTTGTAGAAACAGACGTGTGTAAATATACGGAATAAAACACTCGTACAAAGACTGTTTTAGATGTAAACAAATACATGACGTGTGTTTATATGTGAGAGAGAGAGAGAGAGAGAGAGAGAGAGAGAGTTTACATCAACATCACCGCCGCGCCTAAAGGGGGAACCTCTGACCTCAGTATCCAGGACATGGAACTGGTTGTAACGTGCTTAACACTGACATTGTTTCGTGCATTATATAACACTGAGACACTGTGTCATGTGGGAGCTATGTGTGTCAGCGGTTTGTGCGACGCCTCCTCCTCCTCATTCAGGTTCATCTGAACTAGATAATGAGACACAAGTGTAACCAACGACACGCACATCCCCCAAGCAGGGTGCACCAGTCCCTCCTGTAGCGCCCCGGGGCCTGACCTCACTGATCCTGGAATAGAGGACACAAATGATACATCTCCTTCTAGTTGTCTCTAATATTGACGTTATATAAAGGGATAATACAGACGCTATTAGTTAAGTGAGTCATTTATACGCCCTTCTAATTTATCGATTCTACGAAAACTGATCTTACGAACATCTGAAAATCGTTTCCTTGTGCCCTCAGATTGTATGAACTATTAAGGGATGCCCTCAGTATCGTCAGCAGTCATAACAAGGGGGCTGACCTCTAAATACCGTCAGCACTAAATCACAGTTATGCAAACCACAAAAATAAAAAAGCCAACACTAACCCAGGGAAAGATTCGGGAAAGGTTATAGATTTCAATATTTCCTTTCAACAGATATGGCAGAATACACCTAACACCTCACTTCACCTAACCTAACACCTCACTTCACCTAACACCTCACTTTAGTCACCACCCAATAACATAGTACTCGCCTGTGATGTTGCACCGAGGCTGTACTGTACTTTCAACAAGTCAACAGATGTGTTCTAATCTTGTGTGTCCATTGGTTGAAATTACACCACAGTAACTTCAACCAATGGGCCCAGAAGATTAGAACACATCTGTTGAAGGTACAGTACAGACTCGGTGCAACATCACAGGCGGGTACTATGTTCGTCTAGTTAAAATAGGATCACATGAAGATAAGACACCCCAGTATTATTTCACCTGGAGATGATTAACTACTCTAATGCTACTTTAAGGAGGTTAGGATCGTTAATAATTAGGTGAAATAAATTGGGTCTAATATTGAAAGGGGGATTTATTTAATGTCCGGTTAGGTTAGGTTAGGTTTTCTGAAATTAAAATAAAATGCTCGCGCAGATAATTTATTTCCCCGCGTCTCTATAGTTAGTGAATCAGCCAATCAAAAGTGTCGTTTACCTGAACTATATACCTGTTGTAATTAGGGGACAGACGTGGGCCAGTTTACTCTGTTGTGTTGACTCTTAGACACAACAGGAGTATTTATTTTGACTTTAAATTGATAATGTCTCCCACCTGCTTCATATTTACTGTTCAGGGATCTTGACGCTCCACTCCATCGTTTATCATTGACCTAACTCACGAATACGTTACTATAGACGTAAAACTCGTCACCTTACGTCAAAAACACAACTTATTTTCAGAGGTGCGTCATGTTTGGTTTGTGTACTTGGCAACGAATAATTTTTGTCACACACACACACACACACACACACAAAATCACTTCGACACTGCACCATCCACCAATACAAATTCATCTAAAAACTGTATTGACAAAATTCAGCGAGACTTATCAATGTGTCCAGATTTTGCCCGCCAGAACACGTGTAAGTTCGACCAAATAACGAACAAGACTTTAAAATACACAATATTACCTTCTAAGAGTAGACGTACAAACACATCGCATTATTACCTAAGGACACTGCAACTGTATCCCATTTTAAACAATATCTTGACGTACCTAGACAGTCAGGCAAGTAAAAACAGTGACAGGAGCTAGTAGCGTGCGTCCTTCCCCTCTGGCGTCTCACGGTACACTGGCTGCCTCCTCACCTGCTGAAAGAAAGCCAAGATCAAGAACCAAGTTGACGAATACCATGATACTTATGACGTGACTTAGATGTGTATTGCTGTATCGTAGAGGGAATCTATTATACACAAATATACTTGTTTTTCATCTAGCTTCTTCAGACATACTCGCAATACTAAAAAAAAAAATCATCATAATTATTTTCGAATTATTTTTGTCTTCATAATTTGAGGCATTGTGACATCAGTGATTTATTATTTTTGAGAAGTTTAAACAACATTGTGAGGGGAAATGTACACACACACACACACACACACACACACACACACACACACACACGTTGATATGTACAAGAGGAAGTTAAGTCAGTGGACGTTAGGAGGCGTGTGTGTCATCCACCACTAGTTGGGCCGAGTTAAAAGTTAAATAAATTATCAACAGAGAGAGCGAGGGAGATCACCTAACCTAACCTAACCCCTCAAGGTAGCATTTGGGTGTTCGATCATCAGGTGAAATAAACTGGGGGAGAGAGGGGCTAATCTTCATGAAATCCCTTAACTATCTTCTGTGTTGAATTACCTGAATAAACTTAATATCTACCTGAGTGTCGACATCATTTAGCCACTCTCAACTTTCTCTATACTGTATCGTGACAAAGACCACAGTGTGATTTAGGAGGCGTAAAGTGAGAAGGGGGTGTGGAAAGGGGGGGTGTGGAGAGGGGAGGGTGTGGAGAGGGGAGGGTGTGAAGAGGGGAGGGTGTGGAGTGGGGGAAGAGCGTGAGGAGAGAGAGAGAGAGAGAGAGAGAGAGACGGAAGGAAAGAAAGAAAGAAAGAATGAATAAGGAAAGAGGGAGAGGAAGAGAGACTGAATAACAACATAATAATTACATACGTGATAGCAGTAGCTGGATAATAACAGCAACTATGATAAACCAATGACGTAACGCGGAAATAACTTGATGTTCGTCACGGTTATTATTTTCGTATACACCGCCACACAATAATTCATCTATCACACTAACGACAGAAGAGTTCCTTGAGGGATGTTTATGGCCAGCGAATACAAACCAAGCGGGAGGCGTCTACTCCACCTATGTGTGATGTAAACAGAGAACGCCGTGTCCTCGTCCCGGCGTTATATAGGGGCGCTCCTCACTGCTGGGTCCATCCGTGTTTTTTTTTTTTGGTGTGTGTGTGTGGGGGGGTTGTTTTAGTTTACGGTAAAAAAATAAAACCTTTGGATATAACATTGTTTTTATATGATTATAATATGTAGATTAGGCAGCTAAGCTTTATTTCACGCTATGATTAAACACCCTAACGCTAACCTAACGAGAAATTTATAGTAGTGAGAGTTAATAATATCACAAATTAAGGTGTAAAGTTAGGTCTTGTTAGGTTAGGTTAGGCTAGATTAGGTTAAGATTCATTAAGACATGACAAAGATCAAGTTAAAGGGTTAGATTAAAATACAGGGTAGGTTAAATCAACATACAGGTAGGCTAAATTAACATACAGGATAGATTAAATTAACATACAGGTTAGGATAAATTAACATACAGGTTAGGTTAAATTAACATACAGGTTAGGTTAAATTACCCCCATAATCAAACTAAACATAAAATTTAACAGTGAGACAATATTAATTTCATTATTTCTCTTTCAATCACCAAAAAAAAAAAACAACCAGAAATGCAGACCTGAAGAGGCGCCAGGCACCTTGTATAGTAACCAGACAACCAGAGACCAGTTTTTAGTGTTGTTGTGATGAATTTATCTGAAGGTCGAACTGAAGCGGTTTATGGGGAGCTGTTGGATGGGCGAGACAAAGGGGAAGCGTAGGGAACAGGAAGAGAAGCGTAGATAATAGGGAGAGAAACGTAGATAATAGGGAGAGAAGCGTAGATAATAGGGGGTGAAGTGTAGATAATAGGAGAGAAGCGTAGATAAGAGGGAGAGAAGCGTAGATAAGAGGGAGAGAAGCGTAGATAATAGGGAGAGAAGCGTAGATAATAGGGAGAGAAGCGTAGATAAAACAGTGTAAAAATAGCATAGAAAAAAAAGAAAAGAGGGGAAGAAAAAAGTAATAATAATTTAGGGAAAAGAAAGAATGAGAGGAGAAGGATGAGGAGGGAGGGGAGAGATAAAGGAGATAGAAGAGAGGAGAAGATAGTGTCGTGAGTGTGTGTGGTGTCATCATAACACTATGGCTCCACACACTTCATGACTCAACTCTCGTGATGGTGAAAGCTTTGGTCTCTCTCTCTCTCTCTCTCTCTCCTCTCTCTCTCTCTCTCTCTCTCTGATTCAGTCTCCCTGTGGGAGGAACCTCCTGAAGAGAAGAACTGACAAAAGGAACCAACACAGCGAAAACTTAATCTGTCTGTCTGTCTCTGTCTGTCTGCTTGCACTAGTCAACACACACACACACACACACACACACACACACTGTCGTCAAATCACAATAAAGAAGAAAGAAATATGTCGGCGCCATGCTGGTAGTGGTGGTAGTAGTAATGGTGGTGGTAGTGGTAGTGGTGATAGTAGTAATGGTGGTGGTAGTGGTGGTAGTGGTAGTGGTGGTAGTAGTGGTTGGGACAGTAGTGGCGATAGTAGTAATGGTGGTGGTAGTGGCGATAGTAGTAATGGTGATGGTAGTGGCGATAGTAGTAATGGTGGTGGTAGTAGTAATAATAGTGGTAGTAGTAATAATAGTGGTAGTAGTAATAATAGTGGTAGTAGTAATAGTGATCACAGAAGTTAATAGCTGGGAATATTCTCACAGTTCCCACCAGTAATGAGACGCACAAGGCTGTCCACCATATCATCTAACCTAACCTAACCTAACCTAATCTAATCTAACCAAACCTAACCAAACCTAACCTAACCAAACCTAACCTATATAGCCTAACCCCTAGCAAACCCTAACCCCCCCCTTCCAGGTAGCATTAGGATATTTACAGTAATCAGCGAATTAAGTAACTCAGGTATCTTAAATCGTCCAGGTAAATCCCGTAATTAGAGTTGCTGAGGAAACAGAGAGTGTGTGTGTTACCACCATCAATTCTCTTCCTCTCGTTGCTCGTTTATATTATCCCTTCCGCATTACCCCCAAGCCAGCCCCCTAGCTCTCAGGTCTGTCTTTGCCCCTTGATAGTCAGCCCTACGTCACCTTGACTACCGTAGTTATGCTAGTCCTCAGTGCGGTGTTCTCAAGTGACATGGTTGTAAATGGGAGTTCGCTTAATCTTTATTCATTTTATACTGGTTGATGTTATGCTTTTATATTCCTGCTTATTTCTGCTTATCCCTACCTACTCCCTGCTTAACCCTACCTACTCCCTGCTTATCCCTACCTACCTCTGCCTACCGGAACAGTATCTATGCTAGTTGTTAAATCTGACGTCACTGTTGAACTTTACAGGTGATTATTATTTCATTGTACATGTTGGAGGGGGGTTAGGCTAGGTTATATTAAGGTTAGGTTAGGTTAGCGTTAAGGTGAACTAAATTAGGGACTTAATCTTCATGTAAATATAAACATTATTAATACCAAGTAGGAGGAGGAGGAGGAATACCAGTTCGAGGAAGGTGTGGACGGGAAATTGATCCAAGAGTCGTGACCAACAGCTTCTGCCAGTGTGTGTGTGTGAGGCGGGAACTGTGAATTATTTACATTTTATTGAAGGTTACAATCTGCTTACTACAGGATCCCATTACTTAGGTTCTTCTTCAGGTTATCTGGGTGATTGAAGAGTACTGTACCTTTATTTATATGACTTCAGGTATAACATGTAGAGAATTAGTTAAAATTGCTTTGTTTCTACACTGGGATTACCAAGACTAGATGCGTAGTTTTATTGAAAGTCATGAGAAATTTATCGCATTAACAGGAACGTTATAAGTGATAAAACAAATCATTGTAATATTTCTACAGCAAATAAAATTCAGAGTTGCAGAGAAGCATTTCGTGTCATGTGTCAAGTTTAGGTAATTATTTCGGAATGGTCATTAATATCATGCATTTGTCAGACCCCCTTCGTCATGACACACCTTGGAAGTAACCTGGCACTATACCACTGATTAACAAATGCAACAAGGTTCACAGCACAACGATAGTGATTTAAAAGACTAATTAAACTCTATTACTCAAAACTAGACCAACCATATTGACAAATACTTTAAATTCTTTTACTGGTATTTGTAAAAAAAAGAATGTGAGTGAGTAATTCCGACTTGGCACCTGGCACGTGAGGTGAGGTAAGGGCAGGTTACCAGGCGACGCACCAAAACATTCACTCGCCCTCATGACACCGCGGAGGGAGATTGTGTGTCGCTCTCTCTACTGTTCCTTGTTTCCTATTAATATTCATCCCTTTAACAGTATATGGTTACTACTTTATGTGCAATGACGAGCAACACGACATAGCAAAATATACAAGTGTGAATCGGTTTTATAGTTCAGTGGTATGACGTCCCGAAAACAATGTGCTGTCGATAATGGTTTAGTTGTGAGGTGGCTCTGAGGGACAGGTGTGATAATACGCACTACAGGTGTTGTGAGCTGCTGTGAGTGTTAACTGAGCAGTTGTGGGTTCTACCAGAGCCGCTGTGGGTGTTATTTGAGCCGCTGAGTGTTACCTGAGCCGCTGTGATAGTTACCTGAGCAGCTGTGAGTGTTACCAGAGCAGCTGTGAGTGTTACCAGACCAGTTGTGAGTGTTACCTGAGCAGTTGTGAGTGTTACCAGACCAGGTGTTGAAGTGTCCTAAAGCAACAATGTGATGTACACGGACTTGTCAAACCTTCCTTCCTTCACTGAACCTCCAATGACACAATAAAAAGGTAAATTGATAATACTATAAATACCGTCTTGCACTGATCAGCTTCGGCACACCACAAGCTTAAGTACATGGAATACCGTCTTGCACTGATCAGCTTCGGCACACAAGCTTAAGTACATGGAATACCGTCTTGCACTGATCAGCTATTTCTAAGCTTAAGTACATGGAATACCGTCTTGCACTGATCAGCTTCGGCACACCACAAGCTTAAGTACATGGAATACCGTCTTGCACTGATCAGCTTCGGCACACAAGCTTAAGTACATGGAATACCGTCTTGCACTGATCAGCTTCGGCACACAACAAGCTTAAGTGCATGCACCTAGCGAACTGCCTCACGTGATTAAAGTATTTCGCATTTATAGAGGTGTAAAATACAAGGGTTCAACTGTGACGAAAAATACGATACTAGTTCCTGAATGATTTAGGTATTGGTTGGTGTGGGAGGTGAGTGTGTTGGTGTGGTAGGTGAGTGTGTTGGTGTGGTAGGTGAGTGTGTTGGTGTGGGAGGTGAGTGTGTTGGTGTGGGAGGTGAATGTCTTGGTTCACGCGGCACTATACATTCCATACTACGGTCCGCTACACACACACACCAACAACAAACACTTATTAAACTACTCCACACCTGAAGATTAGACACCCCATCTTATTTCACCTGATCCAAACCTAACCTAACCCTTAATCAACACCTGGTTCATGATAATATTAGTCCTGCATCGCGTGGTGTCATATTTAGGTGCTAGGGGGTCGGGGGGGAGGGGGGGAGAGGCTGGGCATATAAGCAACAGCAAGACGATGAGTTGTGTTGCCAGTGCTCCTGAGACAGTCATTACTCCAGCTAGACATTGGGGCATAGCTCTCTCATAGTCTCTGTAGCGAGAATAATATGGGATATATATCAGAGACTGTAGTGAGACCTCCAGCTCCTCTTGATATAACGTGGTGTGTTTCCTGCAGAAGCTGACGATGAAATAATGATGGGTGTTATTAGTGTTGGTGTAAACTACTTTAAAAAATAATAAATCGGAACGCCTAAAAGAATCTCCAACCCAGCTTATTTTACCTAAAGATTAATCATCCTAACGCTAACCTAACCTAACCCCCAGCTTATTTTACCAAAAGATTAACCATCCTAACGCTATCGGGAGGATGAGGTTACGTTAGCCTTAAGGTGGTTAGGTTAGGTCAGGTCAGGTCAGGTTAGGTTAGGTCAGGTTAGGATCACTAATGTTTAGGTGAAATAATCTGGGGGATGGTTAGGAGATGCTTTAGATAATTTATAAAAAACTCCACTATTGCGTCATACATGAATGGTGTACCCGCCGACCCTGAGACGACACGTTCAGAGAGGAATCTACACCAAAGCTTATCTCCCAGTTATGACTCACGGCCCTAGATGACCTATATCACTTATCATAGGCTGGAACGGAGGTGTAAAGTTAGGTCATGTCACGTTGAAGGAGAGAGAGAAGGACAAGAACTTAAATCTAAGAGTTTGTCTGGTTTAATTAGGTTTTAATTATGGTACATCATTTTTTGGATGTTTTGTGTGGGAAAATTATGAGTTAAACCCTGGAGATTAATGGTTAAGTGTCGAATGTGTTGTGTTAGTGTTTGGTCAGCCTAGGTCACCCCTGGCAGCCGAGGGGGGTTGAGGAGCGTAGACTAATGTTGTCACGACCAGCACTATAGCGCCTCTCTCTCTCTCTCTCTCTCTCTCTCTCTCTCTCTCTCTCTCTCTCTCTCTCACCAAAATCACTATTAGCATCACCTGAAAATTCCCCCCCCCCCTAATTTAATATAACCTAATCTTACCTAACTATCCAAAATTCCAAATCTAATCAAATCCAACCTAACCTAACTCACTTTACAATGTTTAATTATCAAGAGGATTAAGGTGTGTAGGGGGGGGGGGTTAATTTTCAGGTAGATCCATGTTATCTCCCTGAATCGATCTTTCTTAATTCAGGTTTCATTTTGTCTATTACTTAACAACAGTATCTCTTATTCAATATTAGGAGTGAGGCCACCTACCATCTCGTTGTCTGCTACTGTGCTGAGCTAAAAGGTTAACTAACTACCATTCCTATCCTGAACTTTGGTATATGTTTACATCGGTTTTAATAGGAATATGATGACTGCTCAGCTATCCTTGGTCTGGTCGATTTACTGTTTAACCATCCTCTATATACCTGCACTCTCTTCACCTGCGGAATCATAGTGCTCCTGTGTGGCGATTTTACTTAATACTATCTAATTTCTAATACCAGGTTATCAGTATCTTATCCACGTTTCCCTTATCCACGAGGCCTCCAGCGTGTATTTTTCCTCAATGGTCTGTTTTTAAGGCACGTTGGTCATTATAACCCCAGGTCCCAGCGCTTAATTATTGTGGAAAGTCAATATATTTCAACCGTAATTATCGAGAAAAATCGTCTCCTCGTGTTTCTATATCAAGGAAACCGTGTTTATTAGACTAATGTATTAAGAAAATGCTGTTATTTAGGTTTAGTTATGAAGCAGACTCTGCCCCCTCCCTGCAGCTATAATTTATCAAGGAAACTGTCCACTAGGCGTCACGAAAGCCTAGTCACCTAATACCTCGAGTGATTTGTCAAGAGTTACCGAGACAAACTTCCTTCGGGGCCTGATGGCAATATAAAGTTATATCCTTTACTTAGTATTTGACTGCGTCTTGTTAAGTTAGTTACAAAAGGTTTTTAAATCAAGTCTACTTGGTGAAGGCTCATTGATCGTTAAGACGCTGCTGTTGTTGACCTTTCACAACGCTGCAGTCAGGAGGAGGAGGAGGAGGAAGAGGCATTATTGGAACATAAATCAGATGACGTCTTGTGAAGAATGTAGACGAAAATTTAGATGCATCGAGTGTTTGTCTGTTCATTTGTTCGTCGTCTCAGTTCAAAAGCCAGAGGAAGATAATCGTTTAGACTCTAGAGGATTGAAATGAAATACAGATTGTCCCTGGTATTTAGGTTAGGTTAAGTACATTATCAAAACATTGGTGTGTGTGTGTGTGTGTGTGTGTGTGTGTGTGTGTGTGCTGCCTGGGTTTTTTTCCTACATACTCATAACTGATATTCTTAACCGTGTTTACTGTGACAGGTAGGATGTTAAAGAAATCATTATAGCCGACAATGATTTATGATTTCTGTATAATTATGTCTAAGTCTTAACTCTCAGACATCATAGTGAAGAGCACACTTCCGTACAGAAAATGACGAGCCTTGAGTACACTATTCTTCAAGGGACTACAGTAATTACTCCCAAATTATACAGGAAATTTTGTAAACACTAAAGCAACAATAGTTAAGTTCTATTATACACTTAAACATTAATTATAAACTCAAGGTAAGGAATTTTTTTGGCCAGTTTAAGAAGTAAAATTATTCACCTGAAGTGCAAGCAGTGTTGCGTGCAGCCAGCGACAACTGCACTTTAATAGCTCCCTTACCGTCCAATCGCCATGTTATCCACTCCCTCACCCACCGCCTGTGTAAAAATAAATACTTCTATTGATCTAGTTAATATCTGCAATAGTTAAGTTTTTTTAACTCTGTAAAGCGAGGGTCAAAGACGTCTTCTAATTTGTTTCATTGGGCTTATTTTCTCAGGTTTACATCTAAGTCTTTCTAAAATCTGTCCAGTTGCCTCGTGAAGTACAGGGTCATGTTTTAACTGTCATCTTAATCGTGTCTTCTGTAACAGTTTCAGTATTCTTAGAGATTCAGAGGAGGTTACAAAGTAGACATGTGAACTGTACCATCCCACCTTATAAGTTACAGTGGATACAGTGAAGAATACAGTTATGTGTAGAATATGATGGCGCACGTAGGGGTGTTTTGGTTGATGGGTAACTTCGTAAACAGAGTAAACATAACCATTAAGGGGGACATTGGAAACAAACATTAATTGGGACTTTGTAAACATAACCATTAAGGGGGACATTGTAAACAAACATTAAGGGGGACTTTGTAAACATAACCATTAAGGGGGACATTGTAAACAAACATTAAGGGGGACTTTGTAAACATAACCATTAAGGGGGACATTGTAAACAAACATTAAGGGGGACTTTGTAAACATAACCATTAAGGGGGACATTGTAAACAAACATTAATTGGGACTTTGTAAACATAAACATTAGGAAGGACTTTGTAAATAAACATCTAGGGATTCTGTAGACGTAAACATAAAGCGACTTTGTGACCACCACAGCGGGCTCTCCCTGCTGTGATCTCGGTCACGGAAGGTTTCATGGTAAGAGTGACCTCCGCCATCACTAGATATACCATTGGCTTCTTATGGTGTAAACATCATTTTCATCGTCTCAAAGGCCTATTTTAACCATCTAGCCTCTGAACGATTCATATTTCTTCGTCAAGTTTGGAAATATTTGTGTGTGTGTGTGTGTGTAACGAAGATTGAACCACGGGAATGAGTCTCCGAACTTCGCTTACCCTGACTGTTATCTGGTGCGGGTGTGCTGTTTGATCTCACTTGGGGTCGATACCGCATGGATAGTTATGATTCATGTATGTATGACGTATATGTATTCAGTTATATATGTATGTCAGTAAATATTAAATACATAGCCCATTTGCTTACACGAGCCTTTAAGTACACCCAGAGACCCACCGACCCCACCCTGGGTGTCTTACTGGCAATTTTACCTGGCAATACTTGGTAAAGGAAGGTTGTATGTAATGACGATTGTGATTGGTGGATTTATTTTCGGCTGTATCACTGTCAGGATAAATATTAAATAAACCAAAGGTAGAATTTGTTTAATAAAAAACTCTTCATCATTATTTTAGGTCATGAGAAGTTTCCACGTGTTCGTATATTTGTTTAAATAATGAAAACCAAATCGATCTGAGAATCTTGTGGCAGCCCTCGTTGTAGTCGAGTTGCCAATTCATTAATATACTTCCTTCATTATTTAAGCAAATATATGAACGTATGGAAACTTCTCATCATCTT